AGAATTAAAAAAGATTAAGCCTAATGTATCGTGAAGCATAATAATATGCATAATATAAATTATGTTTTAAATTAGTAAAAAAATTCAACAGGTACCGAGTGATTTATTTTCTACTAATTTCCTGCTTGTCTTATATATACAGCATATGCACAATGGTTAGGCAGTTAATAGTATTGTCACCCTGACCTACACTCTGATAATAATTTCCTGTTTCATTGTCAGCAATTCTATACAGATTTAGCATTTAGATTCGTCTATCCTATTCAACATGATTCGACAACAATTGCCGCCATTAGAATCGAATTTCGATATTGTCGATCGGATCCAATCGGTATCGATTCCTGTTAGCTTCCCTCATTAAAATGTAAACCTCATCGCGCGCCTGCATAAATATTGCGGTACCACTCACATGAATAAAACCTAGAAAGATCTTTCAGGAATATTGATGACCAAGCTTATTCCACACTGTTGGAGTATAAACAGACACAGATAATGATTGTATTATGCAGATAGAAAAGCATTGTATATTCTTTTCATCTTGAATTCCTTAAATTTTTCTTTCATTAAATTCATTGGTTGTCATAATTTATGACTGGGTGAGAATGTTTGATCCACTTTTATTCCGTTATCGCAGAATCGTTTAGCATATATCAAGTGCATCGATACTACACATTGATTGCAATCGTTCGAGATTGTACAGTATATGATGCTAGACTTTACGGCGCCATTGAATCGTATAACACACACATATGTAGACAATGCGTTTCTTGTTATGCTCGAGGTCACAGACAATAAATTTTACTCCTCTGTTAACTAGTGTGAGAAATGTATTGAGATCAATCTCACTGCATGCAGCAGTGTTCAATACTTAAATCCAATTTCTTTTTAGTAGTTACACTTTCAGAGAACATTCATTTTTCTAATCCCTAATTAATTAGAGCGATTGTAAATCGATTTTTATTTTTTATGGAAAAGTTTTAAATCTGTTAATCTTTCAATCTATTAAATCAGTTGCCTCAGTAACTATTATACCTTACCAACATATTTTACTATTATTCTGGAATTCTTAGATTTATACCTAAGACCTAACAATATCGACATAATTTCATTGAGAACGTTGTCCCTATTATTATTCTTTATTGCTGTATGATACTTGCTTTGAGGTCTAAAATAGATTTGCAATCAATTATTCAGTTGTTTGTCTTCTTCTATTTTAACTTTCTTCTTCGATTAATAAAATGTACCGGTAATATTCTTTCAGATAAAATTGTGAGAATTAGGAGTGACTCTTCTCTCAAACGATACCACGGAAACGCGTCATTTGGCGTCCTTGCGTCACGTTACGCATCTTCGCTCCATGTTGTCGTCAACGTTT